CTTTCGGTTTCATTCATGTTTCATCCTTCACTGGTTCGAAGGTACACTTGGAGGTACTCGGAGACTTTGTGGTTTCATCGTTAATGTTTTATAGGTTTTCCCATCATCATCATCATCTACGTGGTATCCGAGCAATGATCATTGCTTCAAGGGGGAGCAGTGCATCGACTCAATGGAATATGTAATTCATATGCAATTACGTTGACCTTTGGTGTTCGCCTTTGAGGTTATTGTTGTTTTGTTTTTGTTGTTCACGGGTGTCTGTCTGATTTACTGCAATCAGACATAATAAAACAATCGTTGGTTCTCCAGGTTGATGTGGCCGCTGCCAATTGGGGGCGTCATTTTTCCCATTAAATAATCATAATCAAATGTGTACCACCACCAGGCATCCGTAACCACAGCCAGTGAACGACGGACGGGTAAAACCCATTGAATTCATGACAACAACAAAAAAAAATCATTTTATTTCAAATGTTTGAATTTTTTCGCTAAGGCTTTGATTTCATTCAGATTTTTTTAACGATGTGTGGTTATCGTGGGTGTATGTTTTTGTTTTCAATTTTCTTTGGTGACATAAAATACTGTCAAACACGCAAACACATAAATATCCATTGCAGTTCGTTGAATGCGAAATAGGCAATGCAAGCAATTTTTAAGTAATTTTTTTGAATTGTTGTTAAGGTAATATTTTATAATTTTGTAGACTCACTAACCAATTGGAGCACATTTAAGTGTTTTAATGGCAGTGTTTGGGATTTTTTTTTTCCCCAAACTAAAAATACACTGCAAACCCTACATACAATTATTTTCCTCCTCAAGAGTTTGTTGAACTCTTTTCTATTCCCTTTTTTATTATTATTGGTTTACGCGAAACCAACCTAACGGTCCCTTATGTAGGTACAGACGATCATACGAGTATGTATGTATGTACATATGTACATAGCTACCTAACAACGGCCGTCGGTCATCTCGCTGCTGCTGCTATTGCGTTTTCGTTTTGTTTGGTCGCAGCAAAAATTTGTCAGTTGCCTTTTGTACATCTGCATGAAGCAGATCATAATTATTGAAGAAAAAGAATAGAATATTTTAATAAAAATTTTGATCATGAAGATCTCAATTTAAATAAAAAAAAAAATTAAAGTGTTTTACTATTCTGACCATGGGGGTCAGAATACAGTAGCAACAAAAACAAATTCTCCTACATTTAAATGGTGCCGAAACCCGGGATTTGTCGATGTGCTGACAAACACCACATATTGTGAAAAAAGCAAAACTACTGCCGTCTTGCCTACGGTAAATTGCAAAAAAAGAGAAACTACTGCCGTCTTGCCTACGGTAAATTGTGAAAAAAAAAAAAAACAAAATTACTGCCGTCTTGTCTGCGGTACATATCATCAACGTACAGTCTGTACTACGTGTTGCTGACAAATTTCGAGCTAAATTTAAAGCAACATGTCATCCGAAGCAGCTATTGAAGACCAGAGGAGGATCTTCCACCACATCGAACGTGTGGCCAGAGCCTTCGAGGCCAAACCTAAAAATACAATTTCCAAAGGTTATGTACAAACCATTCTTGAAGATTTGGAGAATAATTTCAAAACATTCAAAGATGGACACGATCAAATCATGGAGATTCTACGTGAGGAATCTATACCGGAAAACGAAGTGCCTTACATAAGTGGTGATACTTACTACAAGTGCTATGACTCGTATATTACATTGAAAACTAATTTACTTGATACAATTTTTGAATTTGATTCTCCACAGACTCCAACCGTTCACGCAAGTACATTCGCTGGCACAAGCCGGAACGAATCCTTTTGTGCAGGAGCTAGGCTTCCAAAAATTGATTTGCCATCCTTTTCAGGGGATTATATCGACTGGATTTCATATAGGGATATGTTCAAATCGCTCGTACATCAAAATAATTCCCTCACGAAGGTGCAAAAATATTTTTACTTAAAAAGTTCGTGTACTGGTACTCCATTGAGTATGGTAAATGAATATCCTGCTGCAGAAACGAGTTATGATTTGGCATGGGATGCTCTGGAGAAGAGATTCCATAACGAACGGAAATTAGTAGAGCAGATTTTAAAGCGATTTTTTTCTATTCCAAACACCGATGGAACATTCAAAAGCATAAAGGTGTTGCTCGATACTACGAGAATCTGTCTGTCTCAATTAAAGACTTTGGGAATTGATACGTCCACCTGGAACTCAATACTTATCTACGTGATTTCGCAAAAATTGGACATACAGACCCGCAAGGAATGGGAGCAGTCACTAAAAGCGAGTACGTCTATTCCAACAATGGCGGAAATGTTAATATTTTTGGAAACAACTTTTCGTACTCTGGAGTCAATAGAAGAAGAAGCAGTCTCCACCACGCCACACGCTATCAACAGAGAAACGCGAAGAAAGCCAACGAAATTTGTACGAGCTCACACTATTTCTACAGTAAATGACGACAACTGCCCCTGCTGCCATAAACGTCATCCGCTATACAAATGCTTTCGATTTACAAATTTGCCTTCGACGGAAAAGAAGAATTTTGTAAATCAGCATCGTCTCTGCCGAAATTGTCTAAACTCTGGACACATGCAATTCGCTTGCAAACACACTACCAGATGTCACATCTGTCGTGAATCTCATCATACCATATTACACAATGAGTTCTCGAAGAATAGTTCGCCCCCTGCGGAATTAGCCAATACCACGGTAAATCAAACATTCCAGCCACCAGAAAATACATCCACTCCAGAACTGCAACTGTAAGTACGCACATTACAAACCTAAGTACTAGGAACTTGAATCCTGCTTTGCTGCCCACTGTGCAACTGATAATAAAAACTCAAAATCGGAATTTGAAAGTGAAAGCTTTGGTCGATCAGGGGTCTCAACTTTCCTTCATTTCTGAGGAACTTTCCCAAGTGCTACCATTTCCAAAACATAAAACTCGAATTAACGTTTCTGGTATTGGAGGACATCGAGCTTTAACAGTAAAGAAGTCTACAAGATTCATTCTACATTCTAACTACAAAAAAGAATTTGAACTACCTATTACGGCTTTAGTGGTTCCGAGCGTTACGTCGTACATACCTACGAAAATAACACCCCTCTGTATTCCAGATCTCTCAGATTTCTTCCTTGCAGATCCAGACTTCCTCTTCCCGCAGAAGATTGATATCCTACTTGGAAATGATGTATATGGTGACCTCCTTCTATCTGGTATGAAGAAATTTGAAAACAGTTTCTTATTGCAAGAAACACAGTTTGGATGGATGATATCAGGGTCCCCAAGGTCACAAACGATCGCAACAAGAATTTCAGCAAATGTGTGCTCTTTAGATGAGCAGCTCCGTATGTTCTGGGAACAAGAAGAACTTTTGGATATAAAACCGCAAACTAATGAAGAAGAACTCTGCGAGAAATTGTTTGCTGATACACACTCACGTGATGAAACTGGTCGATACACGGTCCACCTTCCATTCAAAAGGTTACTACAAGGTCAAGAGCTACCTACATTTACCCACACGGACTATAACGCAATGAAACGATTGAAGCAGTTGGAATCATCGTTTCAACAGAAAATCCAATTTGCCGATGAATACCGAAAGTTTATGTTGGAATACGAAACACTTCAGCACATGGTTAAGCTTGGTGAGTATCCTCACTCAATACCACACAATGCATATTTCTTTCCACATCACGGTGTACTCAGAGAGAGTAGTACAACAACTAAACTTCGTGTTGTTTTTGATGGTGGAAATCGGAGACCACCACAAACTTCGATAAATGACGAATTATCAGCTGGTCCTGCTTTACAAAATGATTTGTCTACAATCATCATACGATGGCGAAGACATTGCATTGGGTTTACTGCCGATTTGGAGAAGATGTTTAGGCAAATAAATGTCTGTCCAGAACATCAGCCATTCCAATGTATTCTCTGGAGAGATGCCACTGGAAAAATTGTGTTTACACTCTTCGAACAGTCACCTATGGTACTACGTCCGCCCCCTACTTGGCTATAAGGGTACTCCAACAACTCGCAGCAGATGAAGAAACACGCTTTCCAGAAGCCAGTCAAATTCTACGCGAAGATACATATGTCGATGACGTCATATCTGGGACGGACAATCCACACGAAGCTTACAGCTACAAAATCAGCTTTCGAATCTATTGAAATCAGGAGGCTTTCATTTAAGGAAATGGAATTCGAATTGCCCTGAACTAATGGAGCGTATTCCTGAGGAAGATCGTGAAATAAATAATTTATTTCCGATTCAAAAACCGAAAATGTCCAAAGCACTTGGTATAAATTGGGATACCAATCAAGATGCATTTTGTTTCTCGATAAATTTCAAATTTTCTCATCCTATAACTAAAAGCAGTCTACTTTCAGATGCCTCTAAGCTGTTTGATCCCCTAGGATGGATCAGCGCTACGACCATTACAGCCAAAATTATATTTCAACAGCTCTGGAAACTCAAGCTTGACTGGAATGACCTTCTGCCAGAAGAAATTCAACATCAATGGATTCACTTCAGAGAAAAGCTGAAATCTCTGGAAGAGATTCGAATCCCACGATGGATTGGTTACCGACCAACATCCACAGTTGAACTACATGGCTTCAGCGATGCTTCTAGATTAGCATATGCAGCTGTCGTATATGCCAGAATTATAACGGAATCCGGTGAGATATTAATAAACTTACTACAAGCCAAAACCAAAGTCGTTCCCCTGAAAAGTGAAACAATCCCTCGTCTGGAATTAACTGCAGCAACTCTACTAGCAAAATTAGTTGCTAAAATAAAAGCCAGCGTAGAATTCAACATTAGCAGCATCGTATACTGGACGGATAGCACTATCGTTCTTGCGTGGCTAAAAATAATTCAACACGGTTGGAAGTCTACGTGGCAAATCGAGTAGCACAAATACAACGTATTTCGAACGTTAATAATTGGAAGTATGTTCCCACAAAGGAAAACCCAGCTGACTGCGCGTCCAGGGGTTTACTTCCAGAACAATTAGTTCGTCACACGCTTTGGTGGAAAGGCCCACCTTGGCTCCAAAATACTTCCGATACATGGCCAACTTTCCCCAATGAAGTTTACTGTGAAGAAATCAATAACAATTATGCTGTATCTTTCCACACAAAAACAACAAGTCTACAATATCCCGAAATCACACTTAAATACTCAAAACTGTCAACTATGATACGAGTGACGTCATATATTCTACGATTTTATAACAACGTAAAACAAAAATCCAAAGTAAGCAGAGAGAATGGATTTTTGAAAACTTCTGAGTTACAACGAGCATTACAATTACTCATAAAACAAACACAGGCCGTGTGTTTTCAAGAAGAAATTCGCTGCCTTACACAAGGAATGAGGGTTCCTAACCAAAGCAGTATTGCAAAATTATCACCGTTCTTAGATGAAAAGAACATTCTACGAGTTGGCGGTAGATTGTCAAATGCATCTATACCCTACAACACTAAACACCCGATTTTGCTATCGAAGCAAAATCCTCTTTCTTTTCTTCTATTTTCAGAAGCACATATGAAAACATTTCATGGTAGCCTCCAGCTAATGCAGTCCTATGTGTCTCGTGCCTACTGGGTTGTTTCTGCTAGAAACATAGCAAAACGTGTCCAACGCCAGTGTGTCGTCTGCTTTAAGTATAAAGCTCAAATATGTCAACAACTAATGGGCAACCTGCCCTCTGTGCGTCTACACCCAACCAGGGCATTTAAACATAGTGGACTAGACTATGCCGGCCCAATTAATATAAAAACATCGTCACTTAGGACAGCATCAACCACAAAGGGCTACATCTGTCTTTTTATCTGCATGTGTACCAAAGCGATACACTTGGAAGCAGTGACAAGTCTAAACGTCGATTCATTTCTAGCCGCATTCAGGCGCTTTATCTCTCGAAGAGGTTTATGCAGCGATCTTTATTCCGACTGTGGAACAAATTTCGTGGGTGCCAACAAGGAACTTCAAGTCCTCTATCAACGTAATAAATCGTCACTGCCCGAGCATCTTGTAGAAACGCTCGCAAATCAAGGCACTACCTGGCACTTCATTCCCCCCGCTTCACCCCACTTCGGAGGTTTATGGGAAGCAGGAGTGAAGTCAACAAAACATCATCTGCGCCGCATAATGAGAGACCGCATACTTACCTACGAGGAACTCAGCACACTTTTGGCGCAAATTGAAAGTTGCCTGAATTCTAGGCCTTTATGCCCACTGTCAGCAGACCCCGCTGACTCCGATGCCCTCACACCGGCTCATTTTCTAATTGGTGAGGCCACCAATTGCATTCCCGAAGAAGACTTGCTTTCTGTGAGCATTGACCGCTTGAGTAGATGGAATTGGTCGAACGCCTCAAGCAAAACTTTTGGGATCGCTGGAATAGAGAATATTTGTGTCGCCTTCAATCACGTCCAAAATGGAATAAAATGGAACGAAACATCAGAGTAGGCGATATAGTTCTCCTCCTACACGAACGAAGCATTCCGGGTCAATGGCCGCTTGCAAAAGTTGAACAACTTCACCCTGGTAATGACGACTTGGTACGAGTTGTCACACTGTATTGTAATGGCAAATACATCAAACGCCCTATCTCCAAAGTATGCCTCCTGCCATCAGATGAAGTTCTACCTAAAGAAGAGAAAATTCTAACAACATAAGAACAGTCGTTCTTGGCGCGGGAGAATGTTTGGGATTTTTTTTTCCCCAAACTAAAAATACACTGCAAACCCTACATACAATTATTTTCCTCCTCAAGAGTTTGTTGAACTCTTTTCTATTCCCTTTTTTATTATTATTGGTTTACGCGAAACCAAACCTAACGGTCCCTTATGTAGGTACAGACGATCATACGAGTATGTATGTATGTACATATGTACATAGCTACCTAACAACGGCCGTCGGTCATCTCGCTGCTGCTGCTATTGCGTTTTCGTTTTGTTTGGTCGCAGCAAAAATTTGTCAGTTGCCTTTTGTACATCTGCATGAAGCAGATCATAATTATTGAAGAAAAAGAATAGAATATTTTAATAAAAATTTTGATCATGAAGATCTCAATTTAAATAAAAAAAAAATTAAAGTGTTTTACTATTCTGACCATGGGGGTCAGAATACAGTAGCAACAAAAACAAAATTCTCCTACAGGCAGCATAATTCGGAATAATTGTTCCGAACTCGTTTGCCCCATATTGGCATCGAACAGAAGGCCTTGAGCCGAGTTTATGAAACTTTGTGCACCAAACTAAATTAAATACAATATGTCTTAAATGTAGGTTTAGATTTGGATCTATATCCATATACACGGTGAGATGAAAAAACTGCAACCAACTTCAGACTGCTGTCATTTCTAAGCCACCTTTTTACAAGAGTACAAAAGCATTTTGGTGCGAATTTTCCAGAAAACAAGTTATTCGTGATGGAATTTAAGCTTGATAGTGTGATTACTTTATATTTGGCTGGTAAACCAAGTGGCTATCGTTAGAGCACTCCAGCATTTAAATGTGAATAAACCTTTTGTGTCTCGTACCATCGCTCGTTACCGCGATACTGGTAGTGTAGCCCGACGTTAAGGAAGTGGACGGAAGAAAACAACAACATCAGCAGAAATGGTTCGAAAAGTGAACAAGCGATTTGATCGAAACCCGCGTCGCAGTGACCGGAAAATGGCTCGTGAGCTGAACATATCGCAATATTCCATTCGGCAAATATTGAAAAATGAGCTCGGGGTAAAGCCATTGAAAAACCAAAAAGTGCAAGAACTTACACAGCAACAGAAAGAAAATAGACTCAAAAGAGCTAAAGAGTTGCTTCGCTTGACCGAAAGTGGTGAACTGCCGAATTTGGTGTCTCCGATGAGAAAACATTCGTTTTCAAGCAGTTTGTAAAAAAAACAAAATGATCGTGTTTACTTGCCAAAGAGGTCAGCTGAAAATGTGAAACCTTCGGTTGGCCACCAGCACTCAAGCGCCGGTCATGGTGATGGTATGGGCCGCCATAACAGCCGATGGTCGCTCTCCGCTCGTATTAATCGACCGTGGCATCAGAATAAATGCCGAATATTTTCGCGATAATATTCGGCATTTATTCTGATGCCACGGTCGATTAATACGAGCGCAGACCTCATACACTCCAACAGGACTCATCACCATCAAACTCAGCACGTGCCACCCAAGATGGTTACAAAATGATCATTTCTTGCGCACAATGGCCACCAAAATCTCTGGAGTGTTTTGGAAAGCAAGGTTGACACTGAAAAATACCAAAGTGTCGATCACCTCAAGCAAGCGCTTCGCCGGCAAAATACCGCAGAGCAACATTCGGACAGCGTGTGACGGTTTCATTGACCGTTTGAAAGCCATAATTCGTGCCAAAGGTGACCAATTCGAACAAATCTAAACTTATTCTAAAATTAGATGCTATTTCCGACATTTTCTGCTTTCATTCAATAAAAATTATAAAAAAATTAAAAATTATGGCGTTTGACTTTGTAGCAGTTTTTTTATCTCACCCTGTGGACCCAATATATATGTTTCACCGATTAAGTTAAAAATCGTACAATTTTAACCCGATATCTTTTAAAAATATATATCATATGGCCAGAGAGGGCATGTATCATTTGAAACGGCCAAAACGTGCCTCATCGACCCAACGGTTTTAGACCCTAGGTCTCTGTGGACCAAATCCATTTCAGGACATTTGGAGTCGATCTAGGGGTGTCCCTCCGTCTGTCTGGCTGGTACGCACGATTCCTCCCGTAGGGAAAAGCCGATTTGGTTAAAACTGCGTACATCATAATATTATTGTCGAACTTAGATCGAGTTTGGATATGAGCAATATCGGTTTAGTCCTTCTGATACCTACCCCAGAAAAGGTCAACATTTTCAAAGAAAATAATTTACCTCATAGGAAGAGAGAAGATAGCCCAATTTTGAGTAAACTTTACAAATCCTAATATTTTTGTCAGTTCTTGGTCAGGGGAGAAAACACACAGTATTTGAAATAATTATAACTCTTATAAATTGTGAAATAGGAGCCCGATTGTCTTCAAATTTCACACATACCAATATTTTTATAAATATTAGATCTGGTGCGATATTGGTCCACACCTTCTGGTACCTCCCCCACAAAGGGTTATATTTTTGGATAATTAAAACTTCATAAAATGCGAATTGAGTATCCAATGCTCTTAAAATTGTACATAAAGATAGCACCATAAAGGGTGCAAGGGTGTGAAATATGAGACCCATTGTCTTCAAATTTCACGCATCTTAATATATTAATTAAACGAAAATCTGGAGTGAAGGTGGGCTATATAGGCCAACTGCTGCTGGTACCTCCCCCACAACAGATCAAAATTTTAAGTAGTCATTAAATTCGTTAAAGATGACATATATCAGTTAATGCCTTTTGGTACCTTCCCTAAAAATGGTCAAAATTTGGAATAATTATATCTCTCATATTTGTACGAAATCTACTAAGTGGTGCTTAATTTGGTATTGGGTGAAGGAATAGAGCTTTAATCTTGTTGTCTGTGGTTAAGATATGGCATTGGTTTTGCAGACATTTCCATTGAAAAATGGAAATAAAATCATCAAACTACCGGATATCGGGGGAACCGTTATATTGGGGGCTATACGATATCGGGCACCGATATAGCCCATCTTCGAACTTGACCTGCCTGCAGACATGATATAGACTGTGCAAAATATTAGCTTCCTATCATAATTCGTTTTGACTCTAGCGTGAGTACAACTGAAGGCCGGTCGGACATGGTTAATCGCCTTAGCATTTTACCCTGATCAAGAATATATATACTTTCTAGGTCTACCATTATTATTTTGATGAGTTAGAAACGGAATGACGAACTTAATATACCCTCCATACTATGTATGGTGGAGGGTATAACAAGGTCTACCAAGAAACTGTTGAAACGAATCTAACATTTTAAGGTGTAATTTTTGCTGGCGTGGTAGCGGGCACTTGCTAGTACAGGGTTGCCCATATTCGACGGACCCATGTTTTTTTTTTTTTTAATCAAAGAAAAAAATTAAAAATTTGGCAATTGGCAATGTTAATCATTTAATTTGTTCCGAGTAGATTTGTTTACATCAATTTTTGAATATGATATCTCTCAAATGGCCGCCTCTGGCGTTGATGACGTATTGTGCCCTTTTTGCTGCATTTTCCATCGTTTTTGCCAACATTTCGGCCGAAATAGCAGCTATTTCTTCACGAATGTTGTCCTTGAGCTCTTCTACGGTCCTTGGCTTGTTAACGTAAACCTTTGACTTCAAATATCCCCATAAGAAGAAGTCAGGCGGCGTCAAATCGGGCGAACGCGGTGGCCAGTCCAAATCACCACTTTTCGACATCAAACGGCCCGGAAACAAATTCTTCAGAAAATCGATTGTTATGCGACTTGTGTGCGGTGGAGCGTCGTCTTGTTGAAACCAGAACTGCCTCATACGCTTTCGACGAATAATTGGCATCACAAAATTGGTCATCATGTCGCGATAACGTTCCTGATTGATGGTAACAGCATGACCATTTTCATTTTGGAAGAAAAACGGCCCAATGACCGTTTTCGCACTAACGCCGCACCATACTGTGACTTTTTCGTCATGAAGAGGCACTTCTTGAATCTCCTGAGGATTTTCAGTGGCGTAAAAACGGCAATTTTGCTTACTTACAGTCCCATTCAATGTGAAATGGGCTTCATCGGACATGATAATTTTGTTCCAAAATTGCTCGTCATCTTCGGCCATTTCGATGACTCTTTGGGTCCATTCCAATCGACGAGTCTTGTCCGCAGGCAACATTCTTTGCGTCAATTGAATTTTGCACGGGAACAAATGCAAATCAGTGCGAATAATCCGTTGTAAAATGGACCAAGCCATGCCCAACTGCTGAGAACGGCGTTTTTGGGATGTTCTTGGGGACCTCTCAACACTGGCTCGTACGGCAGCGATATTCTCGGCCGATCGCCTTGGTCGACTTTTATATGGCCGCTTCGGATTAGAAAGTGTCTTACCAGTCGAAAATTTTTCGTATAAACGCTTAATGGTGTTCTTAGAAGGCGCACTTCTCACATTTTTTAATGTTTTAAAAGCACGTTGAGTTTTCACAATTGACTTCTTCTGTTGAATGTAAATTTCAACTATTTCAGAGCGCTCGCGTGGCGTGTATTGGTTCATGGTAAAAATCTGCTTGGACTGACGCTTCAAACGCGGTATGTTATTAAGCGATGTGACATCTCTGTCAAAAGTTATGGCGTTGCCAGATGGGTCCGTCGAATATGGGCAACCCTGTAAAAAATATCTCGAGTGGTTTAGAGTATTAGATAATCAGTCCTGTCCGATTTTTGTCCGACTCCAGCCGCATATTATTAATATAATTTTTAATAACTTAAAAACACAAACTATCAGGTATAAATATTTAAAAAAATGAAATTG